GGCCGGGCTCAGCTCCGAGGGACACGTCCGTGCCGCGCTCGCCCTGGGCTGCGAGCCTCTCCGGGACTTCCTGCCCGCGCGCCCCGCACCTGGCCACGGCCCCGAAGCCCGGCTCCGGCTGTAGAGCGCGGTGGGCGGGCGGTGGACCGCGGTGGTCATGGGGCTGCAGCCGCTGGAGTTCAGCGACTGCTACCTGGACAGCCCGTGGTTCCGGGAGAGGATCCGCGCCCACGAAGCGGAGCTGGAGAGGACCAACAAGTTCATAAAAGAGCTCATCAAGGACGGGAAGAACCTCATCGCAGCGACCAAAAGTAAGCGGGGACCTGGGCGCGGGGCAGGCTGCAGCGCGGCGAGGCCGGGAGGAGCCTCTGCAGGAGGGAGACAGGCAGTCGCGTGCCCCGGGTCAGCCGCCCGCGGAACAGGAGATTGGGGACCGGGAGGCCCCGGGCTCACTCCTGCCCGGCTCCCCAGGCAGAGGGTGGCGAGTGCCCTTTCCCGCCCCTAGCCCTCTACCAGCGGCCAGAGCCCGGGGCTATGCGTGGGAGCGAGCCGCCCGCAGCCGGGTACCCTTCGGTGCCTGCGTTCCCTGCCCGGCCCGCCCCGGGGTCAGGTGGGATTGCACCCTCAAGATCAGTTTCGCTAGTTTTGCCTTGTGATCTCTCCAGAGGACTTCCCTGGGGATTCTTTGAAAACCTGCTGCGTGCTGACTTATTCAAAAGTCTCTTCCACTGCAGCCTTACCGTGTCATTTTCCGATATTTTCGGATAGTCTCGTCCCAGGTCCTTCACTGTGCTAAACCAGAAAGTCCACCCGGCGTCGTGCTGCTTTCCGCACATTCTTTCCCTCCTGCGCTGGGGAGGGTTCAAAGAGTGGGACTTGTCAGGATGAGCAGACAGCCTACCCTTTGGCCTGAGCCAGCGTTGCCTGCCACCAGGGAATTTCACCCACGTCGGGCTTGATGCCTTCTTCCCTGGTTCTTTTCTGCTTTTTGAAAAACTAGGAAGTGGCCACCGGAGAAATAGATCTCTATAGATACATCTGTATCTGAGAAGAGTTTTTCTAGGAGGGAGAAGGGCTAAGATTCTGGCTGATGGTTGGTGATGCTGCTGGATGGGGGGGGGCATTAGCTCCAGTGAGGAGCTGGGCGGTTGGACCACACCTGTAGCCCATAGCCCTTCTGAGGAGGCCTCTGAGTGTACTCTCTTCTTAAGAATTCTTGACAGCAGACAAGCGACAGGGCAGTATCCAAGCCTCACAAGTCTGTGTTGTTAGGGTCTTTATCGCTTCTCTAGTTTCTCAGTTCGGTAATTCCCAGCTTTGGGAGTTAGTCCCTTGTACACTTGTTCGTAGACCTCACCTCTGGGAAAAATACCCTATATCACTCTCCCCCACTACCACCATTTTGCATTAAGGAAGATTGAAACATACTGCACAAACTCTCAAGAACCCAGCACAGTGCCTGGAACAGTAAATATTCATTTAATGAGTTGAAATAAGTTTTAATGGGAAGAATTTAGTGAGCCATCCCTGTAATTTTGGAAACAAGTCACTCCTCTGGATGATGTCCAAAGTTCCTTTTGGTTCTGTGACCTTGTTGGTGTTGCAAAAGGAGGATTGGGAATCACTTTGCGGTATGTGACTAGTGGGCTTATTTGGTTGATGGCTGTCCAGTGCCTTGGCATTAGGTATATGTGTTGGGTGGGAAGTAGGGAGGGGTTATAAACATGTAGGCAGAAGTGAGGAGAAGGGCAGTGTGTGTGTGTGTGTGTGCGCGCGCGCGCGTGTACAAGAACATGAGGGAGAGGACTCCTTCCTTCTGTAGCTTGGTGTTAACCAGTGTCACTGGCCTGGGGAGTGTACCTTCTCTCTTACTGGCTGTAGCAGCTCCCTCTGAAGCTAGGATGATGAGGAGGGAGGCTTTGGTATGGGGAGAGGCAGATGGCAAAGCCAGTTTGGCCACTGGTAGAAAGCTATTTATGTGACTGCATGTTAGCTCTTCTGCCAACAGGACACATGCTTGGTGTTCCAGCGGCAGCTGGTGCATCTGGGAGGCCAGCTGTCACCTTCCTCCCCAGAATGTAGACTTTCTTGATTTGTCAACTGGTGTCTTACTCCTTTTGGTTCTTGTCCTTTACCATAAGAAACACAATTTATAATCATGAGTAAGAGAGCAACCCGAAAGTATCTTTTTTCTCATCATGTTTGATTAACTTAAAGTCTTTCCCAGAAGACAGCAAAAATACAGCTTTAGCTCACGTGCTTTAGGCAAGTTAGAAAGACCCTGCGTTTGCCCAGCTTGCTCCTCAAAGTTTAGTTCTAGTTCCTATCAAAGACTATGAGCACCTGACTTAAGTCAGGACACCTGCGTTTAATTCACCTTTCCTGTTAGGGCCTGGCCACACAACAGCTGAACAGGCCACTTAATTATTTTGTGTTCACTTTCTCCTGTCCTACTTCTTAGAGGCACTGGTAGGGTCCTGCAGTGTTTGAAAATTGCAGTGTAGGTCAGTCATTCGCCTAACCAGTTGAGCCTTTCTATATAACATCTGCAAGTCAAGAAGTCAAGGAAGGACGTGAGGTGGGGGGAGGAGCTGCAGAAAGAATAGCAATCAACTAGGTCAGACTGATTATATTTTCAGACGTCTTATACTCCGTTGTGCATAAATGGCATTTGGTGCATTTTCAGAATTATGAGTTTGAGATTTCTGTTTTTAGTTGCCCTGTAAGATTCCTCCTGCATGCACTAAATACTTGTTAGATTTACGTAGTTTTGATGTCTTGATGCTTTGAATATTCCATAAATATTTAAAGAAATTGGAGGTGGCTCTGTGGGACTTGAAGGCTTACTGCTGAGTTCAGTGATGCAGCAATCAGCAAATATTTAGCATCTATGATTCATTAAATATTGGGATTGAGATACAAAGAGGTAATAAGGCAGAGGCCCCTGTCCTTGAGTTTATCATCCTGTCGTTGAATTCAGTCCAATCTAGGGAATGTGTTTGAACTCCTATAGCATTGTGCTAAATTCTTGAAGAAACAAAGGATACACACACACACAAACACACACACATTTAAAAGGTTAAGGGGCACCTGGGTGGCTCAGTCGGTTAAGTGACTGACTCTTGGTTTTGGCTCAAGTTATGGTCTCAGGGTACTGGGATTGAGCTCCGAGTTGGGCTCTGCTCTCAGCGCAGAGTCTGCTGGAGAGCCTCTCCCTCTCCTCCCCAACCCCCCATGTGCGTACTCTCTCTCAAATAAACAAATCTTTTTTTTTTTTTTAAAGATTTTATGTATTTATATGACAGAGCAAGAGAGGGAGAGAGAGAGCACAAGTAGGGGGAGCCGCAGAAGGAGAGGGAGAAGCAGACTTCCTGCTGAGCAGGGAGCCCGACTTGGGGCTTGATCCTGGGACCCTGAGACCATGACCTGAGCCCCCCAGTCACCCCATACATAAATGTTTAAAAAATAAAAGTTTAAAAATTGAGTGAGGAACAAGTATTCTAACTTTGCCAGAAACAAGAGTTTGTTGTAGGTTAGAATGAAGACATGTGACTGGCAGTTTGGGAACTTGTTTTAAGTAAGGAGTAGAAGCTTGTAGAACTTGTCAGATTGAAAACAGCTGAGAAGAAACCTGAACACCACAGTATTTGAGGACCCTGAGGAGACCAGTTAGGAATGGGATAAAGGGAGAGGTTGGTTTCAGATTATGGAGGGTCATAAAAAGCGAGGTTAGGAATGTGGACTTTATCCGGTGGAGAATCACTGAGGTTTGTCAGCAGAAGGCTGACATAATGGGAAAGAGTTGATTTCGAGACAGGATTTAACATCTGTGTGTAGGGTGGATTTGGACATAGCAGTGGGGGTAGGCGGGAACTCCAGAGAGAAGTCTGAGATCATTGACTTATGTGGCACATTTGGAGATCATTCACTCAATTCAGTGGACTCTTTGTTTAAATGGATTTTTTAGTCCTTTTTCTTTTTCACACCTTTCCTTTCCTAGAATAACCAGTGTCCTCTTTTAATACAGTCTTTCCTTTTGTAAGCCTTTCATGCGCTGTCTGTATAGTTTCAGATGCTTACGATTCATAGAAATGTTTAGCATATCTGCCAGGAACAGAAATAGGCCATATATGCTTTTCCACAAATTTTACATTAGGCCATCTTGAGGGAATTTGTTCTGTTTAGAGGAAAAAAATTTTTTTAAAGCGAATAGTCCTTAGAATTATTAAGCACTTATACAGTTATGTAAAATGCTCTTTATTAAGCTTAGATTTCTAATTTTCTTGGTGTGTGTGTTAAGCTGGAGAGCCCCTCATAAGTGAGCCTGCTCTAAGCACAGACATGGAGAAGGGTGTGAGTGGCAGACAGGACTAGAATTGGAGTTTTCCAAGTCTTGGTTTTAGTACTTTTTTTTTAAGGCCTTGGTATTTTAATATTCGCTTTGCTTTTTCCTTTAATATTTTCTTGATTTTTGCTTTGCTTTCTTTAGGACAACATAAAAGTTCCTTTTTGCTTTCTTTATGTTAATGTTTTAGAGAAATGGTTCAAATGATAATCCCTTTTAGGGGAAATTTCCTAAGTTGCTATTGCATTGAAGCATACAGAAGTTTGGAAGACTTAAAAGAATTTCACGCTGTAAACTTGAGCCTCAGTTTCCTTATTTGTAAAGTGGGACTACAGCAGAAAGCCCAGTCTGAGGATTGAATAAAATCCAGTGATTTTATGTGAAAGTGTTTTGCAAACACACATGTGAAGTGGTTGTGTAGACTCTCTTGTTTGCCCAGCCAGCATTATTTTTCTCTATCGGAATTTTGTTCAGGTGTCTATACCTTTTCCCAGGAGATTCAGGGAAAGGTGATTAGGGCTAATTCTGATTAGTTTAACTAAGTTTTTCAAGCCCAGCTGATCTTTAGAATCATCTGGGCAGTTATAAAAACATGTGGTCAGGTTTAAGATTCCCAGAACTCTAACTCAGTTATGGTGAACTTATTTTCTGGGCTGGTAACTGGTTTAAGAATGAGGATATATCTCAGTTCTGGCCAGTGAGACATGAGAGGAAGGCTGCTGGAGACTTTGGAAAAGATTTCCTTTTGTGTGAAGAGACTCTTAAAAAGGGTTCTTGGGGTGCCTGGGTTGCAGTGTTGGTTGAGCGTCTGACTCTTGGTTTTGGCTCAGGTCATGATCTCAGGGTTGTGGGATCTAGCCCTGTGTCAGGCTCCGTGTTTAGCTTGTAGTCTGCTTAGATTCTCTCTCCCTCTCCCTCTTCCTCTGCCCCACCGACTCGTGCTCGCTCTCTCTCTCTCAAGTAAAT